TGTTATTTGTTTCTCTCTCTTGTATACCACTTACATCTGATTCCTTGATAACCTCAGAGGTCATATTCAGCATTCCCTGCCAGATCCTGGAAAGATCTCGAAGGTTAAATACATAATGGAATTTTGCAGGGGTAGGGAGCATTTTCATCTTGGTCATCTGCCATAGCTGACGTGTCAGGGGCACCAGTTTGGCCACAGAGTCTCGCACTTCTTCTGAGAAACCCCTCTGGGTGCAGTAGAAGCCTACCCCAATGACACCTGGAAGAGGGGACAAAGAGAAGCAAAACACTCAGACTGGCAGTTCAAATTGGTTGAATTAAAATGAAAAAAAAAAAAATGGATAATGTAGACTTTGCACAAATTTGCATACATAATCACATATTAAACAAATTTCTATTTATTAATGTTCTGCCACTTTTTCAAATACCTAAAAAATAGATATAGGCTCAAGTAAGTTAGCATTCAAACTACATTCAAATCTATCAGCATCTGAAAGCTGATAAAGGATATCATGAAAACTGTCGATGGTGGTGACTGCCATGGAGTTGATTCCGACTCCTGGGCAACCCCATGTGTACAGAGTAGGATTGCCCTGTAAGCTTTTCAAGGCTGGAAGCTGCTGGAAAGAGATCACCAGCCCTGACTTCCAATGCGATACTCAGTTGGTTCCAACTGCCATCCTTCCAGTTAGTAGTTACGCATTTGCAGCACCCAGGGTGTCCTGAAAACACACGCTGAATTCAACAGAATTAAGTGGGTATTCAACAAGGGGCTAAGGATAGCAAGGATTGTGAGGACAGCAGAGACAGGACCAGGCAGTGTTTTGTTCTCTTGTACTAGGGTCGCTGTGAGGAGAAGCCAACTCAACGGCACCTACCAACAACAATGATGATGATAAACATCAAACTGTTTTACACACGGGTAAGAAAAAAGGAAGTTTCTTGAATTTTCTAAGATTTCTCCACTATACTGTTGCCTTTCCATGTATTGTAAAATATTTTAATTTACTTTATACATAAAATTTTCTAAGCAATCAAGGATGATTAAAATCAATAATGATCAGCCATTCTTTCTGGTCCATTTTACTTTTCTCAAGTTCAGATAATTCTGAAATGTCATGTAGCTTCCCAAGCTTTCCCACTGCTGTGACTGAAGGCAGATACTTC